AACTGGGTTTAACACTTTAATTGTGTTAAATGAAATGAGAATTTCGTTCTCATGTGCAGTCGGAAATGGGAACTCTGGCACAGCCACAGGAGAGCACTGGGCAGCATCTCATCATGATGAGGTGGCACCTTGAGTCCCTCCAGGCTGCAGGAGGGACAGCTCTGAAGCCTTGCCAGTACTACCATGAGTCTGATGCCCTGATCTGCTGCTTTCAGGCAATTCCGGCCCTTCCATCACCAGTTCCAAAGCTTTCCTGGCCTCAACTTCCTGGCACCCAAAACCTCCAGCCCATTTGAGCCTCTGAAAAGCCTCTCCAATTCCTGCCAAGCCAGGTAAGCTGCAGCTCCTTCTGTGCAAGAGTTTAACCCTGCTCCTACTCACTGCTGGTTCCTGGGCTCTGGGGACCACCTGCCGTTGGGTGTGGGCACAAGGAGCCCTGTGCTGGCCCCTGCTGTCCCTGCCAGGCAGGGTGACCCTGTGCTGTCCCTTGCAGGGGTGCTGAGGGCTGTGCCCTGCTCAGCGCCGGGGGGAAGAGCCCCCGCTCCACACACGTCACCGTGCCCAGGAAAAGGAGGGGGTTTTGTGAGTGCTGCCAAGAGACCTTCGAAGAGCTGCAGAAGGTAAAGGTTCCCCTGGGAGCTGGTTCCTTGCAGGAGTTGTGGGGGGCTCTCAGAGGCTTTGTTAATCGTGTCGTGCTCGTTAGCACTATGAGCTCCTTTGGGAGGAATTGCTGCATCCAGCAGGATCTGCCTGTGAGATGGGAACACGGTATATCTGTGTGCCCAGACCAGCAGGTCAGAGCACAGGGGGTTTGAAGGTTGGGGCACAACATGCTCCTCTCTTGGGGTGCAAGAGCCTCAAGGATCATCCTGTTGCATGATCCATAAGGTGAAGAGGCTGTTCCACGGCAGCCATGGGGCACAGGCAGATTGAAAAGGTGGGAGGATGTTTTTTGTCTCCTGGAAAGTGCTAAGCAAGGGGGCTTTCAGAGCCCAGCTGTTAGTGCCAGACAGTGGTGGTGGAGTCTATTTCCTGCTTCTGGGGAGGCTGTAGGCTGCTCTTGCATCCAGACACAGCCTCCTCATCTGCAGGAGCAGGGAACAGGACACTGTGTGTTCCCAAACCTGGCAGACATTGGCTTTGTCCCTTTGCCCTCTGGTCTGTTAGGCTGTGGGAAGTGCCTGTTACTGCAAATTCCCCTCCTGGCAAAGCTTTGAGTGTTGTTAAAGGGCCTCTGCCACCTTCCAGCATCTCCAGAGCCCCCAGCACCAGAAGTTTGCCAGGGACAGCTCCCAGTACATCCCTGTGGATCGTGTCATCTCCCAGCTCACCAACAGCTTCGTGGAGTGGTCAGCCAAGTAAGTCTGGGGATCTGGGAACTCCTGGAGCCCAAAGGCAGCAGGGTGCTGCATGGCATGGGGTCCCTGTGCCTGGGGATCAGAGGCTGAAGCTGGACCAACTTGGCACCTGCTGGGCAAAGCTTAGACAATCCATGGGGGGATGTTCCTGCATTTCCATGGGGTTTCTCCTTCAGTCCCTGTGGACTCCTAGTGCCTCCTAAACTAGAAAGGGCAGCTGAGCCTACCTCTTCTGTCCCTGTGTCTGACTCAAACCCTGCTGCTCTGTAGCCCCCCTGTGCCTGGGCACTGGGCTGAGGAGGCTGAGATCCTTTGTGCTGCCCATCTCTGCCAGCAGCAGAGTCATTCTGAGTCTCACCAGGCTAAAACTGCTTCCCTGCTCCTGAGCAAGGGCTGCAAACACCCTGCACTGCAGGAGAGGCCTTGTCTCCCTGGGGGGAGTGTTGCTGGGGCTGGGTGAGCATTAACTGATGGTTCCTCCCAGGGTGCCCTGGTCCTGCCTGGCAGATGAACGTGTAGTGCCTCAAGCACACAGCACTGGAGGAATGAAGCTGCTGCCATCAGAGCTGGGAAAGGAAAGGGAGCAGCCTGAGCAGGGTGCTGTGGAACTGGTAATGGATACAGAGCTGGATCATGGCCTGAAAACCCAGGGACATTCCCCCTGCCTGCCCAAGGACAGGGTCAGGGATCCCAGAGGAGGAGGGGACTTGTCAAAGCACAGCTCCCTGCGACTGCCAAGGGGAGCAGGGCTCAGCAGAGGGGTCTGTGCTGCCCATGGTACCATGGGGGGGGCTGGGCTGGGGGCTTCAGGTTCAGGCTTGGCTCCTGAGCTGGGCTGGGGGCCTCGTGCAGCACCCACTCGTTCTTCATCTGAACCTCATACACAGCCTGGCTCTGTCAGCCACCCTCCCCAAGCACAGCCTGCCTCCAGGAAACGCCAGCTGTGCTCCAGACAGAGCTCCCAGGTGGGAAAGAGGCCCAGGCTGGAGCTGGGTTTTGGCCTCTCCCCTCTGGGTGAGCAGATGGAGCCGGTGGGTGGTGGGATGGGGGCACAGGGTGCAGGGCAGGTGTCTGAGCCAGCCCTGCCCGCTGTGGTGGGGGCTGGCAGCCTGCCCCTGGGCACAGAGCTCTCCAGCAGACCTCACAGCTCCCTTGCTTTGGATCTGTGCCTGTGTGAGAGCCCTGGGGACCCTGTATCCCAGCCGGGATCCCCGGGAGCCGTGGCTGCAGGTTTGGATGCTGGGGAGGCAGCTGCAGCCAGCACTGTCAGCGAGCGTGGCTGGAGCAGGGACAGATCCCAAGGGAAACGGCGCAGAGGGGACAGTGACAACACACCCAGGAATGGGAACAGGCCTGCTCTGGAGAGCACAGCGAGCAGGACCAGCTGCCCTGCTGGCTGCCTGCCCTCTCCCACACTGCCTGTGGCTGCGGGCAGATGTTGCTGCTCACTCCGTGTCAGGGCAGCAGAAGAAGCAGCCCCTGGAGCTCCCGACGTGCCCAGGCAGGGCACAGAGCGGGCGCAGAGCCCCGGCCTCCTCCCGCCTGCTCCCCGGAGCCCAGAGGCTGCTCCCGGTTTCAGCAGGAGCTCCTCCAAGTCAGACTGGGATGTGCAGCTGCTCCCCAGCCTCTCAGGTGTCCAGGGCTGCAGGCTTCCAGCTGTGGACAGGGACTTGCTGCAGCAGCCACACCTCAGGGTGAGGGACAGCGGGTACAAATCTCAGCTCTGCTCTGTGCTGAAGGGGTCGGAGCTGGCCTGGGCAGGCCGAGAGGACAAGAGCTGCAGGAACTGCTGCACAGAAACCAGAGGAACCTCTTTCCCCATACTTGGGACATTGTTTGGCAGCTAAAATCACCTGCAGGCTGCTCTCTGGACCCTCGGTGGGAGCTGAGGGGGGGCTGGGATGGGGTTTACCAAGGCACCCTCCATGCCAGGACCAGGAGGCACATCCAAGAGTGAGGACAGCACTGGCAGCCTGGGCAGCTCTCCTGGTGGGAATTGGTGGGGATGCAGTGGCTTCCCTGTCCTTGGCTGTGATCTTCCCTCCTTTCTCCTGGCCATGTTTAGAGCCAGCAGCTTCCTCTAATTCCTAACAGGACTCTCCACTGACACAGTGGTGCCTCTGGAATCTCTATCCAACAGCAATGTGCTCTTTGCCCTTCCAGAGGAAGAGCTGTTCCTCCTCTCACATGGTCCCAGTGCTGCAAAGACTTAGGAAAGGAGGGTCATGGTGATGAGATTTGTGCTCCGCATGTGGTCTGGGGGTTGTCTTTGAGTATTTTCAGGTGCTTTTAACTTGTTTCAGATTTTTTTTACAAACTTTTAAACTTTGAAATAAAACAGAGGAATGAGATTCTGTTCTGCCTTACTGTGTGTGGAATGTGGCTAGGGGCAGGAGCAGAGCAGTAGGGGTTGGGTGGAGGAAGCTTTGTTGGAAGGGGTCTCTGGGCAATGGGCACAGCAGTTTGTCCAGACCCAGAACATCACCCCCTCTGTGGTTTGCCAGAGGAGTGTGGCCAGCAGGCGCTGGGAAGCTGTTGTACCCAGTGCAGGGGTGGTGCCCAGCAAGGAGGGGTGTGGAGAACCTGGAGAGCAGCTGCCAGGAGCCTGTTCACCTCTCCTGGGCATGGGGCTGAGGGAGGGAGGTCAGGGACAGACTGAGACGGCCAAGATGATGTTCTGGAGTGTCTAAAAGCAACCTCTGGCTTCTTGAAGGGCAGTTCCAAGCAGAATGGAGCCAGCCCTTCTGTGGTGCCAGATGTCAAGCTGCAGGTTGGGAAAAGGAAAGGCTGAGGACCCAGGAGAGTAGGACAGCCCTGGGCCAGGCACCCAGAGGAGTGGGGTCTGTCTGTCCTTGGAGATGTTCATTCCTTGAGTGAAGGACAACACTCCCTCCTTCACTCCAGGCTCAAAGGGAAGGCTTGAAGTGGGATTGTGTAGTGGGAGCAGGGACTTAGGACACACGAGGCTTCAGAGGCTCCTCCTGAGCTTCAGTCCCAGCTGGGGAGCTCTGATAATGGTGTGGGTCCTGGTACTGGTTGGCAGCACCAGGACAATCTGCAGGGCCTCTGGGACTGGCTGGGGACAAGTCAGTGCCTCGGCACCAGCTGAGGGGGGCACGGTGCAGGCTGGGGGCCTCCAATCCCAGCTGGAGGCGCTGTACTGGCTGGGGAGCCTGGTACTGGTGTTGGGGGGTTTAGGACTGGCTGGAGGGGCTGGTACTGGTGTGGGGGTGCTGCACTGGCTGGGGGGGGGCAGCAGTGACTGAGGGGGGATTGATTCTGTCCTGAGGTTCCAGTATTGACTGTGGTGTTCTCATCCTGGTGTCCCTGTCCCGGTGGCTGTGGGGGGACACTGTCTGATCTGGCTGGGAGGGGTCTGGCGCTGGCGGCTCCACTCCGGTCCCTGCTGGCCCGGGGTGCCCAGCACCGGCCCGGGGCTCCAGTACCATTCCGGGGGGTGATGGCACCGGCAGCTCCGGTACCGGCCGGGGGTGCTGCCGGCCCGGGGGTGATGCCAGCGGGGCTCCGGTGCTGCAGTGCCGCGGGTGCCAGCGGCGCTGCGGCAGCCGGGGCGGGGAGGGTGGAAGGGGCCGGTACCGGGGGCGGCGGGGC